CCTGATCAGAGGAATGAAGTGGAATGGCTGTTAAATATTGAGGACTCAGAGTTGTTTGTTTAAAGATCTACTTTCCTGCTGGGCACAGTGGCTCACGCCTGTAATCACAGCACTTTGGGAGGTGGATCACTTGAGCCCAGGAGTTCGAGTCCAGCCTGAGTGACACAGCAAGACCCCACCTCTACAAAATCAAAAGCATTAGTTGGACCTGGTGACATGTGCCTATAGTTCCCCCCATCTAAGAGGCTGAGGCAAGAGAATCAGTTGAGCCCAGGGGGCCGAGCCTACAGTGACGCATGACTGCACCACTGCTCTCCAACCTAGGTGACAGAGCGAGACCCTGTCTCAAAAAAAAAAAGGAAAAAAAAAAGATCTTTCCTGCTTTCTTGCCAAGGCAACACAGGGCCCATCCCCAGTCCTTTTTCCATGCCAGGACTATAAAAGAGAAGGTGTCACTGAAAACCGGTGCCTTTTCTAAGTATTTTACTTCTGAGAAAAAAAACTAATGCCTGGCCAGCTTCAAGCAGATTTGCCTTTTAATGAACTGACCACACGCTCATAGATGATGTCATAGCCTCCCACATCATTTGGACTCTGGGGCCTGGTGGCATTCAGGGGTATGTTTCCAAAGCAGCTGGTTGCTGATTCCACCTTTCCCCTGCCTGTCCTACAGCACTCTGGCCCATGTGCCTCTCTCTGCGTCCTGGCCTGTTTATCAAGTCTCGGCTCATTGGGCTTTGCATTCCTGGCATCACAAAGCACTCAGCTAAGGAACTCTGAGCAGAATTGGTGAGGCTTTACCCTGCAGAGCTGTGGGATTGCATGGCTAGGGCCTGTCTCATGTCCAGGATACACCTCAGTATCTCGGAAAACATGAACTGGCTGTGATATCAGCCATCCCCACGCCACCTCTTGCTAGCTGTGTTATTAGGCACGTGGTCTCCCCGCCCAGCCTCAGTATTTTCATCAGTAATAAGCCTCGTAAGGCACTATGTGTAGGTGAGTTGATATGATCCATGCCCAGCAAGAAGGATACAGTAGGAGTAGTAGTTCTCGTCCTCATGAGCCAGTCCCTGCTGTGTTCTGACTCACTGGGCTAACACTGGGGGGCAGGCACTCCCTCTCCTAACTGGCACCCCTGGATTTTCTGCAGAAGTTTGCAAGTCTCAGACAGGCAGCCATTCCTGTTCTAAAATCCTCAGCCCAAACAGTCTTATTCTGGCTATAAATGAAAGTTCCTACTGCACAGAGAGCAGCAGCTCGTCAGAAGCAAAGCCGGGCACGAGCCAGATCCTAAAATAAACTCCAGGCTGTGGTGAGGCGGTGTTTCTGTGGAATGGCCCGCCCTGCCTTTCTCCTTGCCCTGTGGGTAAGTGTGATCATAAAGTGCTGGAAGTATTCCTCTGGGGAATCGGTAGAGACCAGGTCTGTTGAAAATGGTGTGACATGAGCCCTGATGCAGCTCTTGGCATCCGCAGAGCCCAGGGGGCACAGCAAGGGCTTCATGGTGATCAGAAGGCTTTCCCTGTGTCTCCCTGCCCCATGAAGGTACCTTTCCAGTTTGGCTCTTGTCCCAGCATGACTGCATAGCTTGAATACCAGAGCATGAGCTCAGAGCTGCAGAGGGAGGGCCAGGGCAGGCCAGGCCAGGCCCCTTTGTCCAAGAGAGGCTGACTCTCCATCTTTTCTCCTTAGTATCTGCCCCCTCCTTGGGAGTTCATACCCCTGGTTGTTTCCCTGAGCCTCTCTCCCCCGTACCTAGACCTCAACCCATGCAGTGGGTGAAGTTTGTCTCTTACCTGTCCACACTCAAAACTGAGACACTGCAGTGGGTTGGGCAATATTCTAGGAGACTTAATTAATAATCCAGTGCCTAGAATATGCCTACTAAATGCCCCAGCTCTGTTATTTAGAGAGTTCCTGGATTGTTTATAGGGCAGGAAAGGAGAACTGATGCCGCCCAAGAGGTTGCCCACACCAGCACCGTGTGGAGGATTTGCATGTAGTGCTCAGCGTCTCACAGAAACTTTATGGAGAGGGGCTGTTGTTTTCATCCCCGTTTTAAAGATGAAGAGCCTGAGCTGAGGCTTAAGAACTTCAGTGGCTTGTACTAGGGTGCACAGGCAGAGATGCCGTGGGAGGCACCTGGAGAGCGTGCCCTCAGCAGCTACCCTGTGCCGTCTCCTGGAAGAGGCACCATGCTGTGGGAGTCTGCCTCTGACCTTGTTGAATTAAAACCTGCTAACAACACCATGTGATCAGTTGGGAGGACGCTTCTCCAGCTTGGTACGCTTTGTGATGACACAGAAGCCATTTGTGTATGTGTAAATCAGATGCTCAGTTATTGCAGGGCATGTGGAAGCACAAAGTGACTTTACATGGGGGCACTGATGAGGATATGTCAAGACTTCAGAAGGAGTTGGTGCTGAGCATGCGTCTTAAACTAGGCGGTAGCAAGGCAAGGTGAGAGGGCTCTGTTGAGCAAATCTCCCAGCAGCGTCTGGGCATTGGGAACAAACATCTGGCAGATCTGAGAATTTGGGCTCCTGCAAAAGATTGAGCCACTCCCTGAAACAGTCACGCAAGGGTTCCCTGAGGGCAGCCCCCCAGCAGCACGCCGTCCCAACCCTCGGCCAGGGCATCCTGCTCACTGTCCTCTGTGGACCTTCCCAGCCATCAAGGGAGCCTTGCTATGTCCAAGCATCCTCCAGAGATGCAATGGAGAACCCAGAAAGCCAAGTCCTTCACCCCAGTGCCATCCCAGGAAGGCCCAGAGTGAGCTCCCAAGCCTGCAGCATCATCCTGGGTAATTGGTGTGAACCGTTGAAGTGTTGCATAGAGCTTGCTGTGAGGGCTAAGGTGAGGGCGGCAAGCCAGGGTGTCGAGCAGGATGTCTGCCCCCCGAGCTTCTCCTAAAGAAGGATATGAAGGGAACTTCACTTGTGGCAGGTACCCGAGTGTTCAGTGCTGGTCACATGTATGGTACTTCCACTGATTCATTCAGCCGTGGTCGAGGGTTGGCCTTGACTTTGTAGGTTAGGTGGGGTAAGCAGTTGTGTAAGTGGTAGTGAGTGCTTAGGGAAGATGTCATGGATCTGGTGTGAGATCCAGCAGCCACTGGAGCTCATAGGAGAGGAGGGAGGAGCTTGAAACTCTGGTCAGTGCAGCCAGGAAGGGCCACGGCTGTACATACAGGTGGAAACGAGAGGGTTGCGTGTCCCTCGAGTTGTAGTAGCTCTTTGTACAGGTTAAAGGGTAGCTTTGCCCAGCTGCTTAAGGGCCAGGCGTGGTGACTTATGCCTGTAATCCCAGCGCTTTGAGAAGCTGAGGCAGGCAGATCACTTGAGCTCAGGAGTTTAAGACAAGCCTGGGCAACATAGCAAGACCCCGTTTCTACCAAAAAAAAAAAAAAATTAGCCAGGTGTGGTGGCATGCACCTGTGGTCCCGTGTACTCAGGAGCCTGAGGTGGAAGGATTGCTTAAGCCCAGGAAGTCGAGGCTGCAGTGAACTGTGATTACACTACCATACTCAAGCCTGGGTGACAGAGTGAGACCCTGTGTTAAAAGAGAGAACAAAAAGCTACTTAAGGATGAATGGCTTTGACCCCTTGTTAGTTTAAAACTCTATTTTTCTTCCTTTTTCCTCTTTTCCATGGGTTCTGAAAATCTCCTGCCACAGCAAACACAGAATGTTTGAGTGAGTGGCATGCACATTTGTGTTGGGCTTGACTTTCCTCATGTCCCAGTCCCTGTAGTGGGCCGGTGAGCCCAGCAAGGTCTTTGTTTTGTTTAATTTTGTGACTCATTCATTCACCCATATCTGCAAGGACTCTGGACGTGGCCGCCCGCACTGTGCTCTGCCGGCTCGCCTTGATGGTAGCAGCATGGTGGCAGGCCTTTGTAGGACACAATGACGTCACCTCATTAGGTTCTCTCCATGTGGTGGTGGCTAACCAGCAGGCCTAGAGCTCCTCTGTCCCTCCTTCAGCAGCCGAGCCCCAGCCTGGGGTGCTCACTGGACCTCAGAAGCCATGGGCATTTGCTGTCACTTCTCAGGACAGTGTCCAACTTTCCTCTCTGATGAGAATTTGGGGGAGCATAGCCTTGTGGCTACAAGGTGGTATCAAAGGTGTTGTAAGATCACATTTGTTTTTGTTGTATTTTGTTTATTTGAGACAGGGCCTTGCTTTGTCACCCAGGCTGGAGTACAGTGAGTCAAGCTCAAGCTCTCCTCCCATCTCAGCCTCCTGAGCAGCTGGAACTACAGGCACTTGCCACCCCCAGCTCATTTCTGTATTTTTTGTAGAGATGGTTTTGCCATGTTGCCAGGCTGGTCTCAAACTCCTGAGCTCAAGCCATCCACCCGCCTCGGCCTCCCAAAGTGCTGTGACTACAGGTGCGAGCCACCGTGCCCAGCCTACTTCATTTGCTTAAAAAAAAGAAAAAAGATTGGGTCGGAGAGAAAGAGACTCAGACATCGTTAGCATGTAGGTAATGCAGTTTTCAACCATGCCTAGGGTTCGTGCCCCTCCTTTCCAAAAGCATTCAAGGTAGATTTCAATGTTTAAAGGTTGTAGTGTTTGACTGTGAAGGAATAAAACCTGAAGATTCATCCAAAAGATTCAAAATGAGTAATTACAGTGACGTCGAATTTAGCCATGAAGCTCCTGAGCGGGCAATTCAGCGATGGGCCGCGCAGGCTTTATTTTCTGTCCCAGCGAAGCATATGGCCCCTCAAGCCATTCTATTCTCTGTGTCGTGCTGTTTAGACAGCGCTGTTCACTCTCCAGTCTCAGGGCCCTTCTCAAGGAAGGAGGTGCTGGGTGTGGGTACCACAGCGGCCCGAGGACCCGGGGTTGCTTGGTGTGATTGGTGGCTCCTGTTAGAGTTACTGCAAATGGCCTGTCACTGCTCAGCTACTGCCAATCTAACTACTTTTTCTCTTTTCTGTTTTCTTCCTGTATTCTCGTTTTTGTTTGTTCTCCACCTGGATTCTGTAGTATAAGTCTGTGTTTAGGTCCTACTCCCAGGATTTCGTGCCTCACCACCAAGCTTCCGTTCCGCCTTTCCTTCCACCTACCTCCTCTTCCTCTCCACATTTCCCACCTGTCCACCAGTCCCAGAGCTCTGACTTAGCCGTGCCAACCATAGCCGGTCCACCTCCCAGCACCGTGGACGGGCCTCTCTCGGCTTCTCAGGAGAGCAGCTTTCATGGGAATACTGTCTGCCTTTCTTCCGAAACCTCTTTCCCTGACTCGGTGAGAACTCGGCGCGCGCGCGCACACACACACACACCCCTGCACATGGGGCTACACGTTTTTTAAAAAGCGGTTTCACTGTTCCTGAAAGACACTGCCTCCCCTTCACTAGCAGTCAGGGGTGCCGCTGGCACATGCCTGCTGGCAGCATGGCTGGACTGACAGCTACTGAGGATCACAAGGTGCAATCGTAGCCTCTCTGTTTCCAGAACACAAGGAATCTTCTCTACAAAGTTTCATGAAACCAGGAATCTGATTTTCCACAAATGGATTAGTGGCCATTTAGAGAGGACGTTCTCAGATGCATAAGATACAAAATGCTCCTAGCTTTCCCTTTAATTGTCTGTTTTTAGGGAAAGGTACAAACCCCTTTGTGAGTGTGGAGGTGACAGATTCAGGGCAAGTGTCTGTTGGGTTGCACGTGGTGCCGATGACAGAAGCCTGGTTTCCAGCCAGTTAAAGTGCCCGTAGCGCTTCATCTAACTCGGAGAAATGCTGCCCTGCAGATTGGAGCGGACACACGAATGGGGCAAAGGAAGTACGGGCAGCGGGACCCCTGGATCTCCACTGCCACGGGGCTGTCTCTCCAGGATTGTTTGGCCCCAGACACCATTGGAGAAGCAGCAGTAGGAGACTCAGGTCCCTTCTAGCGCAAAGGCGAGAGCTGGCCAAAGCAGCTTTGCTGTCTGTGCCTGGGGAGAGCAGAGTACAGGCTGCGGCGTTCCCCTGGCCACCTGTGAGGGCCGGCTGGAGGGCCTGGCCCATGTGTCTTTCCTCTCATCCTGTCTCCCCCAGAGTGAAAACGCCAGTGAGGAAGCTGGTGAGGGTGAATATGTCAATCTGTATTCCTCTGGCCAGAGCAGCGAGGAGCTGGCTCCCCCTCGAGGAGTAAGTAACCTCGGGCAGCCTCCTGCATGTGGCCTGGCCTGGCGGGGCTTGGGCCCTGCCCTCCCGAGGCTGCTTCCCCCGCACCTGCTTCCATTGGGCTACGCCCCCTCCTGGTTGCCAGCAGACTGGGCTCCCACAGGCTGGTGGGAGCCAGCTCAGCCCTTGGGAGAGGACGTGGCTTCCAGGTGGAGGTCTGCCCTTTGATCCTGCTTCAGTGCGTGTGGCACTCATCAGAGCGTGGCCAGATGCGTCTTCTAGAAATCCTGGGAGCAGCATGGTGCGGGCCCCAGCTGTGATTCTGGTTGCTTTCTCTGGGGTTCCTTCCTCCCTCATCTTCTGGTATTGGCTTCATTTTCCATCCCTCATATAGAGGGAGGGACTCTTCTCCCCATGGGACCTTTCAGACCCTCATCTCCCTCCTCCCCAGCATGTCCCATCGCTCTAACGCTAACTGCTTCCAAGGAAGCGGGATGAGTCCGGCCCATAGTCCCTGCCATGGCTATGCACACCCCCTCCTGAGGGAGCCTCAAGGTACCCGATGTCAGCACACTCGTGACGCTACTTCCCTAGCTCCTAACCGTCGAGGTACAGCAGTTCTATTGAGCAATCCACTTTCCAAGTTTTGCTTCAGCCAAACATGAGCAAGTTCAAAAGCTTCAGAAATTGCTCTCCTCACGAGTTCAAGTGGGGCAAGTTCCTTGAAGGGAGGCCCATGAGGGCTGGGAGATTCCCAGTGACCCACCAAGGCCAGGCTCTGCCCGTGAAGAGCTTGGTCACACCCGCTAAGGTGATTTTCTCAGCAGGGTCCCTACAGGGGTTCAGAGGCCCACACAGAGCAAGCCCTGTTTCAGGCATTAGTAAATTGTAGAACATTGAGGAGTGTTCACTCCAGTGGGATTTGCCCCTTGTCCATGGGGGCTGTCCCCTTTGCTGACCTGTGCCTCTGGCACCACCCAGCTCAGCTTCCCCATGGGAGTCCATTTCCAAGGAGAGGCTGGCTTTGCACAGCTCTCTCCCTCCACCCGTGATGCTGCCAGGGCTCACTGGCTCCTCACCTCGATCTTTCTGTATTTGTGCTACCCCAATTCACCATCAGGCCTCGACAGCAGACCAGGGATGCTGGAGGGCCATGTTGTCACTGAGCAGGGCCAGCCCAGGGACTCAGGAGGAAGCGAGTCTGCTGGGGGAAGAGGAGACTGGCATCCCTGGGCCTGAGCAGCTGGCCTTGGGGTACTGAACCCGGTCGACCACTGCAGCCATGAGGACTTATTTAACTTTCAATTGGCAGTTTGGTTCATGACAGCACGGCCTAGTGGTTAAGGGCACAGGCTTTGCAGGTAGATAGCCCTGGGGTCCAATCCAAGCTCTGCTGTTGACGAGCTGTGTGGTCTTGGGCAGGGTCCTTGGCTTCTGGCCTCTGTGTCTGTGCATGGAGCGGGAATGATGGTGTTAGCTCACCGACGAAGTCAAACAAGGAGAAGCAGACAGAGCCTTGAGCCCAGTGCCTGGCTGTGCTTGTGTGGAGTGGCTATGGTGACAGTCCTCTTTGAGGAGGTGGTTAAGGTGACTTTGCCTAGGTTGGCAGCTAACAGATGTTCCAAATAGTGGCACCTTTCACTCTCTACAAAGGCCAGATGCTAGTCTCAAGGGCTTGTTTCCTGTGGTTAATGGCATTCATCGTTAATGCGTTCACATCTCAGGTTGCTCCATAGGAACTTGCACTCCACAGCCACTTGCAGGCAGGAATGCTGGGAAGACAGAGCAGCTCCGCAGCGGGCCCCTGTCCAGAACTCAACACCCACTCCTCTTTCCAGGAACCACCAGCTGGGAAAGATGGACATCCCAGAGATCCCACGGCGGTCGGCAGCGTCCCTGGGAAGGATAGCAGAGACGGCTGTGAGAGGTAGGAAGTGGGCCCAGAGGAGCTTGGTCCCCTGAGAGCAGCACGTCCACTCAGTGAGGCCTGCCTGAGTGGCCCCTCCCAGCTGGCGCCTTAGGCCTGAGGGTGTGTTTCAAGTTGAAACTCTTTCTTCCTTCTCTTGTTCCCTTTTTTTGTTCTTTAGAGACAGAGTATTGATCAATCACCCAGGCTGGAGTGCAGTGGCACAGTCACAGCTCACTATAACCTTGAAATTCCTGGGCTCAAGCGATCCTCCCATCTCAGCCTCCCAGGTAGCTGGGACTACAGGCATGCACTACCATGCCCAGCTGATTAATTTTTTTTTTTTTTTTTTTTTTT